GTTCCTCATTACCTTGTCTAGTTGCTCACAGGAGCATGGTCGATGTGTCATGTCCCACACAGCAGCCAGGCTTGCAGTGTCAGGGAAGGTCCTCAGGGGGGAGGATCCTTTTTTGGCAGGATGTTGCATGGATGCTTTCTGATGGTATTGTCTGTTTTGCTGCCTGAAACAGTTTTTAATATCTGAATTCACAGAGTGTTCTGGAGCAAATCAGTTCATTTCACACCTGTAGAAAATGTAGAAAATTATTGTGGCAAAAAGCAATGAAAGACTGTACAGGAAGAAAGAATAATATACATTTATGAAATCTCCAAATAAGTTAACCAATTATGATTTTTATTTCGTTCACTCTTCCTTTTATCCCCATCTTCGGCGCCAGGATGCATGTGCTGAGGTGGTCTGGCTCACTTGTATGTGACACAAAGGACATGGGACATCAAACCCCTACCACATCTCTTTGCATTTCCTTGATTGGCAACCAAGGACTGACTGATTTTGGAGAGATGATTTATACTCTCTAGGAGTCTAATGTTGTTATGGGGTGGTCCTTTACACTGAATTGTCTTTTCCTTAGTCTCTAAGTCTTAAACAAGTTTGTTGCTCATTGCCTGTTTTTTTTTAATTTATTAAATACACACTTTTGTCAATATTATCTGCTTTCCTATTGGGCTTACAGGCAAGAGAATGGCATATGTCACATGCTGCAATCTTGCTACCAACATTCCATTGTTATGGTACAATAACATTGTTCTGCTGACAAGGCAGCAGAACCTATGTTGTGGTCTTCCAGAGTCCAGACATTCTGTCCAGGCATGGCAGAAGTTACTCGTTTTAAGTCTTATTGCTAGGAATGTACTCTATTGTTAATACACATAATTTCTCTAACCTTTGTTCATTCTTTATGCTTACATTCAATTTCCATCCATATTTGATTTTTTTCTATGATAATATTTCTATTACAAGTCCCATTCATGTTTTGGCTTCAACAAGTTACTCTGTGCTCACAGGTCAGTTATGAGGTAAGGCATGCTGTGGTATAGCTAGGAGTTATGCATTTTACGTCTCTGAATGCACTGGTTTGGTTAAGTACCTGCAAATCACACACTTCCTAATTATATTTTAAGGTCATGACTTAAAAGCTGCTTACTTTGACTTCCCCATTATTGGGAACTGTGAAACTCATGTTTCATTTGTATTCTAAAATTCTTAGTTTGCTGATATAAAGTAAGCTTGGCTCTCTGTGTAGGATAGTAGCAAAATACAACGTTCATTTTGGGCTATGAGAGAGTTTCTTTAACTTCACTTATAATTAGAAAGCTGATATTATCTAACTGCAATTGTTTTTTTTAATCTCCCTCTTAGCTTACTGCAAAGTGATATGTCCACAGCATAATTCATCCACAGTGTCTTAAACAGTGATTTTATTATTATCATCACAGAGAGGTAACTTTGCTGGACTAATTATAGGAGAAGCCTCCAACCTACGTTTTGCCAGAAAAGTAGTTAGAACATATTTTTTAGCTATGTATTTAAAATATGTATGGTGCAGCAAAATAAAGTAAAATAGCTGTAAATCGTCATATGTTATTATTCACAAAATCAGTGATCAGTGTTTGTGGAACCCAAAAGCAGATGAGTTTTACAAACGCACATCCAGTGAAAATGGGAGGAAATAAATTTTGACTCATCTTCCCTGGTTTACACATTGAGTCAATATTATATGGGCCCATCTTCTTCAGTCATTTTGAACAAAACTGAATTTGACTGGTTGTACCACCAGTATTAAATCCAGTTTCCTTTCTTTTTTCCTCTTGGAGTAGTCTTTTCTTTGTAGAACCCCAGAATTATAGAATGTTTTGTCATTACCTAGATCAGGTCCTTGAACACTTCCAGGCTTGGGGCATCCACAAATTCTCTGGGAAACCTGTCCCAGTGGCTCACCACCATCATCATAAAACATTTCTTCCTCAGCTCCATTATAATTTTATCCTCCATTTAATTCCTGTTGAGAGGAAATGGAGTGCTTTGTCCAAGCTGAGCTGTTGCTGTGAAATAGACTGCACATCAGCAAAAGCAGAAGTGATCAACTACCAATCTTCCAGGTTCTGAGAGAAATGTTTTCCCAGCTACGGGAGTCAATAAGAAAAAGATTCTGCAATTAAATAGTCTGATTTTGTTGTTGTTGTTGTTGTTGTTTGTTTTGGTTTTTTTGTTTTTTTAATTCAATGGAACAATGAGAAAGGCCATTTAGAAAACATACCTTGCACTATTTTTTCCAATTGTTTGAATGATTCTCTGTTTTTAAAACAGCGTAAGGATCTAAGACCAACCTGTTGTAGTTAGTGATGAAGGATGCACACTAGAATTGCACCAACCTTTCCAAAGTCTTAAAACAATACAGAAGCCTTCAGTCTAGATGGAGGTGAGACTTAACTCAGGTTGTGAACTTTCACAGCACTGATCTTCCCACCCACCTCTTCCCACATCCAGCCCCCAACCTTTCAGAAATTGAGAATGTGATTCATCTCATCTTTCTCAGATGTCTAGTTTAGATGAGATGAATCATACTTTAAAAGTTCTTAATGAATTTTCATTTATCGTGCAGGTAGCATAAACGATTAGCATAGTTGTCTGATGTCATTTTGGCCATATGAATCCTACCCAAAAGTTTTATTATACTTTCCTTGTGCCCTAGCAATTAGCAAAAGTCATATAAGTAAAATTAAATGGGCCATTGTTCTATTCCTCATTCTTCCCAAGAAAAAAATCTATTAAAGAAGGCAAGTATGATTAAGCAACTGCACTAAATCATTATTGATAGGAAAGACATGGAAAATCTTTCTGTTCCTCAGTTTTCTTTCATACCCACTCTCCTTTTGTTTCCCACAGGGTTATCCCCTGTGTTGTTCTGCTCTTTTAAACCTTTTTATACTCAGTGCTGGTTTTTTGGTTTCCCAAAGTCAGACTCTGCTTAAAAATACCATGTAGCCCCATACAATGTAGCACGTCTAAATTTTACGTAGGATGAATTAGAAAAAGCTACTCCTTTCATTATTATAAGCTTCACTTTTGCAATGCAAGGACCCTGTGTTTCTGCTCCTTTTGCTTTACGGTTTCATACATCTGTTGTGATAAAACCATGCAAACAAACAGCAAGCCAAGCACTACACTCAGCACTGCAGAAAATGGAAGTGATCATCATGGCTAGTTCTTGCTTATACTGCAGCAGGACCAGGCCTCATTAGGACCCCCTGTGTGCCAAACACAGAGTAGATGTGTGGCCAGAAACGACCTTGCCCCTTTACGAGAGAACAGTGCTAATAAGGGGGAGAGAAGAGGATCGAAGCATACTGTAACCTAATCTTCTCAAGGTCATGCCCTAGGTGAGCAGTGAAGCTGAAGAAAGCCCTCTTGCTGCAGTCTAACCCACTCAATTGCTCCCATCATCATTCTAGAATACTCTCAGATCTTTAGAGGCAGAAGCTTATACAAATGGTGTTTGGGTCAAGATTATTATAATGATGTCACCAAGAAAGATTATTCAATGACTGTTCCTTGTCCACAACTAATATTTTAAAGAAAATTTCCATTCTTGATGTTTTGTTAGAATATTTTTTTGCTTCTTATTAGTAGACCCAGGGTAATGAAGCAATTCTTCTATGCTGGAAAAATCATAATCTTTATATACATGCAATTGTCCTGGTAGACACACATAAATAGTAACTGTGATCACCAGCTTTATCTGAAAATTAAATAAAGATTTATTTTAATTATCCATATTTCTAAATTAACTTCATGAGTATTGTTAGTAGTCATCTTAATTAATCAAGTAGTGTGTCGATTTGAGATATAAATTCAGAGGTTTCTTTTTGTAATCTACTGGTTTGGCACTACCCATTAAGTAGTCCACTACGTTTTCTGACCTCACATCTTTTTTAAGCTAAAATGATGAGCAAATGAAAATAATGTGAGAAAAAAAAATATTTAATTGACTCAAAAAACCCCTTCTCTCTGCACACAAACAGCTGCTATAAAACCATATGCATATTAAATATACCATCCCTTAATTTTTATTGCCCATGAAGTCTGGCTGTTGAGTTTGTGATAAAATGCCAAATTCCACACAATTCATTTTTTACTATTGCATTTTACTGCTTTTTCCTGTCTTTTCTCTGATTAAAAGATTTAAATGTTCTTACAAATTAAAGCAATCATTTGCCTGTTTATGTCATATGTCAGAAGATAGGAAAAATAGGAAAGGGGGGAAACTGTCTTTTTTTATTACCCCAACACCTATTTATTTTACCTTCCTTATCTTGAATTGTATCAGCATATATTATTGATGTTGTTCCAAAGTTTGAGTGTTTATCTAGGAATTTCACAGATCTCTGAACAGAAGTTATATATGTACAAAGGAATATTGCTTTCTCAGTTTATGTATCCATAGCCAAAGTTGTTTGTGTCCTAGAGAAAACCCCCACGATTTAAATCCACACATCTACATAGTTTCTGTTTTACTTTCACTGACCCTTCACTGTGGTACTCCATAAACTTGCAAAACCTTTAGAAGACCTTTCAAAATATTCTTCAAATTGTGTGGACAATAAGAACACTTTTCATTTTGTTCTGATAGGTGGTGATGTATTTTGCACCAACATTTAACAAAATAAACTTCAGGATTCACTGTTTTATTACTAGTCCTTGCAAGTTGGGCCATAAATTCTTGAAATAGGCTCTACTGGCCCTCAGCGAGTGTGTTATATAACATCATATCAATTCAATATTTTTGTCTCTACCTTCCTACAATTGTAAATGACAAGGAATTTTCTTAATTTAGTTCTTTCCCTGACCTTTTAGGAAAAGTAAGAGTAAGGACCCCACTTATGTTATTTGTATTTCTGTAAAAAATACTATAAGTGTACAGTATATATGCTACTTTCCACTTCTCTTTAATGTTATATACTGTATTGCTAATGTTTTGTTTACAATATCTTCTCCAGGTCTGGGATTCAGTATTGCAGGAGGGGTAGGAAACCAACACATCCCTGGGGACAACAGCATTTATGTCACCAAGATTATTGATGGGGGAGCTGCACAGAAAGATGGGAGGTTACAGGTTGGAGATAGACTTCTTATGGTAAGTATGATAAAATTTAAATCACATTTCATTTGGCTGAAAATTGTTTCATATAAGGATTTTCACTCACCATACATCTTTCTGGAGGCAATGAGTAGAAATGCTGTAATAATTATGAGTTTTATTTCCATCATATTAATTTTTCCCATTCTTTTTATATATTTCTGAGACTGCAGTTAAGGAAGCATTACTCTGGAAAACCAACATTTTATGAAGTGAAGGCAATGCATTATATTACTTTGACAAGATTTTAACAGAGAAGAGAATAAATGTATTATGCTCATCAGTGACAAGTCATAATGAAACATAAAACAGTAAAAGATTTTAGACAAACTACTTGTTATGGTAGTACTGATTGCACTGTTATTTGTAAGGATATTGAAAGATGTCAAAACGTGCCTCTAAAGTCTCACATGTAGCCACTGTCAGTGGACTACTTGCCTACATTTCAGTACATGTAGGAATGCTTTATGTATATGTTCATATGTTAAAAAAGCAAAACATTTCCAAATTTTTCATTCAGCAAGTGTATTCTTCTGATAAAACTCACTTCCCCAAATCCTTCCTGCTATTTGCAGTGCTGGTACCCTTTTTCTTGTAGATAATTCTTTCCCACTCACAGAGTTTGTTTAATTCTATGATGAGGGGCTAATTCTGACCCTGGTGAATCAGCACAGGCTAATCTATGTCAAGTTGTATTCATGTCAATGCATTTGCATAGATATCAGCAGGTAGAGAAATATTTTTTTTATTAAGTGCCATAAAAAAAACATGTCCTGTGATAGCTCTGTTTTGTGATGTGACATTTAAGCAGTAAAAAATTGCCATGACCCTTTCTGCTGCCTGCAAAGCTATGCCTAATTGAGGTTTTCTTTATTTGACTAGGGACACTGTATTCCAGTCACATATGAAGATGACTATCATTTTATACAGGATATCAAACAGAACTGGAAAAGCATTTAGTTACTGGGCTGGGGACTCTGACTTTTTTAATTAGCACAAGAGGTTAGATAAAACAGCTTAAGGATCAAGTGGTGTTATCAAAATCAAAACAAAATAAAACTAGAACTAACATTTCTTTGGTATTTTTTCTTTGCAGAATCTCAGGACATTAAAATTCAAGTTACTGTTGGATAATGAAGTTTTGGCTAATTTTTCTGTAGAGATGCATATTTATATTTGCCAAATTTGCATCTTAGTTATTTTGCAAGTCTGTTTCTGTTCAGCTGTTGTTTGGTTTGGGGTATTTTACTGATAAGAATTCCTTGCAATTTTTGTGTCTGTAATTTCTTGTTACTTTAATTTTTTCCAATTCATGTGAGATAGTAAAAGTATATATTAAAAAAAAACTAATGAAAAACAACCAAACAGATTCAAGCTCCCCATATTCACCCTTTCCAGTGTAATTTAATCAGGATGAATTTGAATAGAAATATAATTATTTTATGTACTATGTATAAATTAATTATTTTCAGATTTTTATAGAATTAGTCTATTTAGCATCTCAGTCTTGAAACTGATTCACTACAATCAGATATAGACGTTTCTTCATTGTAAGAAGTTTATACTTCTGAAAATGACCAGAGGTCATTCTCAGTGTGTTTGATGTCTTTGTTCTTCTTTCAGTCTGGACTGTTTCTTTACTTAATGTTGTCTCCTTTTAACACTGCCTCTAAAATAAGCAAAAAATTAAAAATAGTGCTCTCCTCTAATTATGTACTTCCAGATCTAGCTTTTCAGTGTTATATAAGAAAATTCTAGTCAGTGTACTCTTTACATACCTTAACTATTACATTTTTGAAGGTACAAGATCAAAATCTATTTTTAAAATTTATGCAGATTACAGCCATGTTTTCTGATTCTCTCCAACAAGACTCCCTGATTTCTTCATAACTTCTGCACCTTCCATAATTATCTGTCCTTATTTGTGAATTATCTGTCAGTTTATTACATTAACTTCATGTTCCTTTATGAGTAGTGAGTGAAAGAATTAATTACTTTCTTTTGGCAGCCTATCAACACAATATTACCCTTGTCATCTATACAGTCCTACTTCTGCTTCACTGATTTCTTATTGATTGTACATTTTAACAGTTCCTGTTTTTATTTTTTCTTCTCAGTAGGGCACTGTCTCTTGATCTTTGGTTTTTTCCATCATTTCTCTATCAGATTTACCAGAATTCGTCATCCTTCCTGAATTCTCAGCAGCTGCTGGGGAGCTTGTTTAATTTTTCTATCGGCATTCAGATAAGTTTGTGTGAAATGGTTTCAGATCCCAAACAATGGGAAATCAAATTAATTCAAATTTAAGACATAATAAAAGTGATGCTGCAGAATCAAAACTAATATTGAAATGTAAAACAGGAAGGGGCCACCTGAGCATTTTGCAGCCTGCTGACCGTACTGTTATTAAATGCAGATTGCTAATTGTGTGTTAAACATTCAGAAGATGTATTATGTAAATGCTGAGCATTGTGATTATTGTAAAATCTATAAAATGCCATGTTATGCAGTTATGTTTCTGTGGCACTAAACCTGCACTTAAGGCTTATTACCCTGAGCAATTGCACAGGAAAATTCTCCATTGTAGGATAATCTTGAGGTGCCGATTTGGAAAATTACTGGGGAAAGTATGAATGCTTAAGCCAAAAACTGAGTGGTTTCTCTAGGTGTATATGAAAGGAAAAGACCAGAGCTCTGCTATGGAGATTTACAGTTGGAAGAAAAATACTCTCTTATTGTGTTCTGGTGTTAATGTCTGCTGGTAATGCTGTGGTAATGCCTGCTGCTGTTAATGCCTTTGGTGAGAATATCACTGCAGTAGGTGTCTCAGCTAGGTTGCTTCTCTTTGTGCTGAAAGGGAGCAAAAGTAAATCATGTACAGCATCATAGGCCAACATGGTAATTCAAGGTCAGCTATGGGGCCAGACAAGGTTGCTCAGGAATTTATCCAATTGAATCTCAAAAATCTCCAAGGATAGATGTTGTAGAGCCTCTCTGTGAAACCTGTTCCACTGCTCAGCTGTTCTGAGGAAAATACTTTTCCTTATAACCTGTTTGACCCTCTCGTGTTTCAACAGTTGCCTGCTGTCTCTCATCCTGTTACTATATACCACTCTGAAAGGCTTAGCTCTGTCTTGATGATCTTCCTGTAAGCACTGGTGGTCTGTCATTAGTTGTCTCTAGAGGAACTCCTTTTCCAGGCTGAAAATGCCCAGATTCCCCAACTTTTTCTCACCAGGCTAGTGTTCCAACCACACCCATCCCAGCAGCACACCTCTCAACTTACTGCCTTTTGTGGGTTTTTTTCCCATAGTGTGAGAATTAAAACCGAATGCAGTTTCTAGGTACAGTTTAACGAGTGGCAGCTATCGGGGAATAAGCTTCTGCTGATTCTCCAGACTCTGCTCCTGCTTGTACAGCCCAGGATGCTGTTGACCTTTTTGCTGCCAGGACACACATCTGGCTCATACCCAGCTTGCCATCCATCAGGAGCCCCAAGCACTTTTCCATAGAGCTGCTGCCAGGTTGTCAATGCCTGTGCTATTGATGGAGGTTAGCCTATGCTAGGGGCAGGACTTACTGTTTCTTCCTGCTGAACATCATAAAGTTTTCTTCAGCCCTTCTTCCAGTCTAAGGCAGTCCTGCCTTCAATATCTCACATTGAAGCGTGATGAGAGCGCACTTGTAACCTCTTTAGGGTCATTTTTAATGATGGTCAGGAAGAGCTAGAAAATGGTTTAAGTTATTACATCTCAGATAAGAAATACTTTCTTTTATCTCATCGTATTTTGGAAGAGTTATCTAGAGAATGAATAATTGAGAAATCAGTATAAAACTGTGTGGTTTTACTAGTACATAACAACACTAATAGGTAGAAGCTAGGTATTTTTCAGGGAAAACTAAAAACATTGGTGTTTATAAGAAAATTTAAGTAATACTTATCTTTTATAAGTATTAGCCTTTCTAAAGTAGGTCTCCTATTCCAAAATACCCTTGTATATTTGGGCCATATGCTCTTGTTTCTTGGCCTATATAGTCATGGAGATCAGTGATTGTACATAACAAGAGATTTAATTTGATTCTGTTCGCTTGGTGAAAACAGGAGGAAGAAACAAGTCACTTTTGTTTTCAGAAATTTAGGCTTTCTATCTAGTTCTCTGGTGAAAAAAAGTATGTTATTTTCTGGTGATTTCATAGAACTGCAGTGGAGTCGTTATTGTGCAACTGTTGATATGTCCCTTATGGGATCCCCTGCCAGTATCTGTTTCTTTCAGAGGGTATATGAATATAGGGTCATGTTTGTATTAAAGTAATCAGAGCATATAATTTAAAGATTACCATTTGATTCTGATTAAGAGGTGTTCTTTTAAAGTGATTTTGGCTGTCTTTTTGGGATCATCTTTTACAAAACAGTCCAACGCCTGTACAACTAATTCAAGAGTCCATGGGATTATAAGTATTTAGTTAATCCATACAGATTTACCTCCTTAGTAAAAATTGTTAGTCCTCAGCACTGGAAAGCCTTTCACTTTTTGCAGCCTTGTAAAACAAAGAGAGTTTTCAAAAAGGCCATCAGTGTTCTAGATTTACAGCCGGCACATTGCAGTTGTTTACTGGCAATATTCACTGAGGAAAATCCGCTCTTTTTAGGAAAAGTCAAACATTACAGAAAAGCAAACATTACCACTGGTAAGGTAAAGATCACCTCTTTGTCTCATTCACAGAGTGAATCTAATCTTTCTTAGCTTAAGTCAATGGAGGCAAGGAATGAATCCCCTGTAATAAAGGAAAATTAAATAAGACAGACTTATTCCTCCAGAGCTCTTATTCTCATATCAGCTTATACTGTTGTGAATGAAATTATTCTTTAGAGCACTTGTACAGTCATTCTGGGGATTCTAAGCTTTTCTAGCTCCTTTTCAGGGCCTTTGTTTCCCAGTATGAATCTTGGAAAACTTCCAAATAAAATATTCCAGCTTAGGTTTATACTTCATCTCCTTGATTATGTTATTTAGGAAAAAGTCCACCCCAGTCTTTTTATCTCTCTTTGGTACCATTTCTTATTCATTTCACCCATCACTCAAATCGCTTCTTTGATTGAACTTGTTTCATACTGCTATGTTATTTCTTTCTCCTATTCTTTTATCATATTATCAGTATGTATTTGTATCACATACTTTCTATTTAAAGAAAAAGCTGCCCCAATTTGGTTGGTTGGTTGGTTTGTTTGTTTGTTTGTTTACTTCTGGTACTGTTTGTGGTTTTGAATTTACATGGAACTATTCCAATTAGAAAAGCCCCACTTGCTCCATACCTGTTTTCCTTGTGGCTCCTCTCCTTTGGCTCCTCTTGCAGCATTTTGTGTCTCAAGTACCCAGCTTTGTAGCTAACTTGATCACTCAGATAAATGTCTTTTTTAGCATTTGTCTTAGGGTTTTTTTCCCCGTTAATTAATTCCTACTTAAGTTGTCTTCTTAGATCCAGAACATTGGCATGCAATGCCTGTTCTACCCACTCAGATTGATGTCAGCCCTTCTGCACCTAAGATTCAACATCTCAAAGGGTTGAATACTGTATACACTTTGATTTCTTATTTTGTGCATATCTCCCACTCTTTATCTTCTTTACCTCTAACTCAACTCTTTTTTGCAAATTTTATGCAAATATATAAGGTCATTTCAACAGGAGGAAGTAGAGCTTTGCTATGATGCATTGATTGTGCCACAACCACCAAAAAAGCCATATTAAGTACTTGAAATTCTGTTAAAATAGGCAGGTTTTATGGAAACAAGAACTAGGTCAAGAAATAGTCTCTCTTGGAGATTCTGAGCAATTCTCCTCTCTCTATAAATATTATCATAAAAACAATATCAAATTTCCTTATTATTATCATCTCTGTCCTGACATTTTGATGATATCCAGAGATTTCCTTGTGAAAAAAATTACATAATTCAGTCATCCTGCAATAATATCTATGCATTAAACAAATAATTCTTGTAGGTCTTCAAGTTCTTTTGTATATCAGAATACATACAGATGTCATTGTTTGTGATCAGTGTTTTATGATCAAAAAGTAGAAAATATACTGATACATGCACCTATGATTACTAATTGAAATTGTAGATCCTAAACAAGGACTGCCTTCTGAAGGAAACTTGGAATGGCATAGTATATTTTATATACTGCAATTCTAAATGGATGTTGGCAAATGACTAAGTAAAGAGATCTTATCTCCTTCTCAAAGACCTCCCATGTAAAGGAAACCTTATGGCACCACTGAGAATCTTTGTTTTTATGAATGAATCGACATGTTTCTTTGTTTATTTTCTCTTGATGCACATTGACTCTGAGTTTATTTCTGTGTTTACTAAGAACTGAGCAGTCCAGGACAAAATTAATTAATAGCAAACTTTCTAGGAGAGTTCTCTCTAGAGATAAGATACCTCTGATTTTCTGTACATACAGGATGAGTTTGAATAGCAATTTTGGTATATGTTGCTGGAATACTTTTTATGGCAGAACTTTGTTCACTCTGAAGGCTCCTTTTATCTCATCAGATTTTCTTTCAGCATTTTTTCTGACGATCTCCTTTTCTGGATTTCACTAATATGTTACCTTCTTTCAAATTCTACCAAGTTCCAGCTCTACATATTTCAGTTTTCCACAATATGCTGCATACTTAAGCTTATATGTACTAGGAAAGAGAAAAAAAAATAGTCATAGTACATAAATTTGGCACTGAACTCTAGGATCTTTAATTGTATAAACATAATGCAGAACTGCATGGACATTAAATCTTAGTTTAGAATTGTCTCCACTCCTGAAGTATTAACTTCAAGATTTCAATAACTTGTACACCATGTTGGTAAAATCCCTGTCCTGTAAAGTTATTGTCAGAAAGATAAGGCATAGGACCTGTCATAGCACATATCAGTTTCCTGTCATAGTACATATAAGTTTCCTATGTATCATGCTTTTTTTCTGTTTATAAAATGGTTATTTGTCCTCTGACTGCACAACTGTGACATCCAAGTGTGTTGTGATGGAAGTCAACAGTCCTAGCCATGATTTTTATAAGCTAGATTTCCAGAAACAAACAAACAAACAAAACCAAACAAAAAAAAACACAAAAAAACCTCCAAAAAAACCACAAAACAAGACAAAAAACCCCACCAAACTAAAACAAATCCCAAAAGCAAAGCCAAGCAAAACAAACAAATGAAACTGCCCCAAACTAAAAACTAAACTAAACAAATTACCCAACAACAACAAAAACCCGACACCTTTGGAAAAAAGTTGCATCACATCAATTTGGGTCTTAATTGTTTTTAGGCACTCCTAAAAAGTCCAAAAGTAAAAATCCAGGAAGTGCTAAGTGTGTCTTTTTTTGACTAAGAACATTTGTTTACAGCAGCAGTATAGTGGGTGAGATTATGTGAGATTTTCTCTGCTTCAAAAAAGCTTTGACTTAGAATGAAACACAAAAAGATAGATACAATGTACAGACAGTGTGGGAAGGAGAAAAGGTAAAGGATAACCTTTTCTGGTTATATTTCTAAAAGTGTGAATCTGAAGTGTCTAGCGGTTTTGAAATACATAAGCAAGAAAAGCTTAATTTCAGTCACTTGCTCTTGCTACCATCCTAGTAATGTAAGACATTTATTTATTAAAGTTGTATATGTAAGTTACTGCTATTCATAACAAATAAAAATAAAGAAACTTATGCAAGTTAGGTGTAATATTTTTATTTAAATAGAAGACATGTCAAAATACAGCATACAGTGTCAACAACTCCCTTCTGAGTGTTAGGCTCTGTCATTGCTCTTCATGTCAAATTATCATAATGTACCTGCCATTGTCTCTTTCAATTAACCTTAAAACCAAATCTCAGAATTATAGAAGGAACAAAGTTTAAACAGAATCCTTGCATTTAGCAATACAATAGCATTTAATTCTTTCTTGGTGCTGGTGAAACCATCTGGGTACGAGGAATTCTCTAGTGATTCATAGTAACTGGATTTCTTTTCAGTTACCAGACCCTTTGGCAGTACCTTGATGTCACGTCCAGCTTATTGTTCAGGTTTCTGGTAATTTATTGATACCAAAATACCTAGAAAGAACAAGGTTATTTTTCTGTGATTTACAGTTCTACTATAGTTGAGGAACCATTTCTGCTTCCATCTTGCATAATCTTTTAAAAGAATCCTTGCAGTAACTGTCGAAATTGGAGGGTAGCAATTTAAATGACAATAAAATGTTGCATATACAACATTCACTGTGAAATGTAGGTCACTGGAACAGGCTCCCCAGGAAAGCACAAAACCTGCCAGAATTCAAGGAGTGGCTGGACAATACTTTTAGTCATATGGTTCAGTTTTAGGTAGTGCTGTGACAAGCAGGGACTTGGACTCAGTGATCCTTATGGGTCCCTTCCAACTCAAGGTATTCTATGATTCTGTTATTTCGGTTGGCTTACACCGCATGTTTGAAACCTGCATCTACACTGTTTGCTTCTTTTCTTTATCCTGTAATTTCTCCATTCAGGATGTATATTTTTGAGGCAGAGAACGTTCACAGTTCTGTTTACAGGAAGACAATCTGTTGACATTCTGTGGATACAGTGGATTTCTAATTGAAAAAATTATATATGCTTCTACAATAAACGACTTCTGACACTTTTTTGCTTTCTGTGGGAGAAAAGCATAAATAGGCAAGACTGATTGCCACCATTTCCTTCCCTATTTCATCTGTAGTCCTTAACTCATATACTTACTTAAGTATTTTTCTTTTCTAAAAATGCATAGAACCAGTACTACGTTCTCTTACTTTTTCAGTGTCCCTTTCCTGTGCTTCCAGAAAACTGAGAAACTTTCACATCAAAAAATCCCTTTTCCTCTTCCAGAATGGCACTATTTCATTTTTTGCACCTCATAGATATTCTGTATACCAGTTTGTACCCCTTATTATTTTAATTGTTAATGTCATATCAGTGATGGAAGGATTTGGGGTGTTGGTATTTCTTAGGTCCCAGCCATGCATGCTAAAAGAGGAATTTGGAAGTTCATCTTGTTAGGTCAAATAATGTAGATAGCTTCTGTAACTGATGTGGTGCTTTTAATTTATTATTAAACATATTTTATGTTAATTATTATACCGGTAACAGAATATCACAAAGGACTTTTCTACTGATAAGACCAAGTGCCTTCTGAACGCATTATGATTCTGTGTGTCAATACTGCTACATCAGTCTTTGAATATGCATGTGCTAAGAAAACTCTATTTTCTACCTTGCAACAATACTGCTTCTGTAATCTTTAGTGCTCTTTGTCTACAGGGATTTTTCCCAACATTTTGAAAACTGCAAGGCTGTGTCAGTTTTTATGTCTATATCTGCATTCCAACTTACCTGTTTGATTTCTCTTTCAAGGTAAATAATTACAGTTTAGAGGAAGTTACCCATGAAGAGGCAGTAGCGATACTGAAGAACACATCAGATGTAGTCTATCTGAAAGTTGGAAAGCCCACCACCATTTACATGACCGATCCATATGGCCCGCCAGATATTACTCACTGTAAGTGACTTCTGCAACTCATTTAGTAGGAGTTATCAGTTAATGATTGTGTTTTTTCATAGCTTGTTCAAAGTACCCCATTAAAGTTTATGAAACACCTTGGAAGGCTACAAAAATGAAATGTTAATTGCCATTTAAGTATGCTACACTCATGAAATACTGCAGATAATATAACTACTAACATATCTTTGCAGCAAAAACAACAATGTAGATGATGTATGGCTGGGCTGATTCCAATTAGCCATTGTGCAGGTGATCAGATTGAACTGTAACTCCTTTGACAATTACAAAAATAAATAAATGCAAATGTATTTTGAAATATGATTAGATTTGTAGCCTGAAGTCCTTTGTCCACTGAAAAACTGGAACAAACAGCAAGTTGTCTTGAGTAAGCTTAGAGAAAAGCCTGAGGCAAATATATCTTTGAATAAAATATTTAATTACAACAAAAACCCACTCCTCTACTTACAAGACTTTATCTATTTTCTTTGTATGTCCAATTCATGCAGTCACTGAATGGTTTGGGTTGGAAGTGACCTTAAAGTTCACCTAGTTCTGATCCCCCTGCCATGGGCAGGGACACCTGCCACTAGACCAGGTTTCTCCAAACCCCATCCAACCTGACTTTGAGCACTTCCAGGGATGGGGCATCCCACAACTTCTCCAGACAATCCGTTCCAGTGCTTCACTACCCTCATAGTGAAGATTTGATAAATTATTGTTCCATTCTGCTTTATTCTCAGTTTGCCCATTAACTTTATATATGTTCATCTAGTATTTTTCACTGAGGACCAAGGCCTTATTTGTCCTTGCATTCAGTGCACAGTCTGTTGTAGGAAAAGTTGTGGAAACAATAGTAAAAATCAGTGAAGTATCCCATAGGAAGGGAAGATGACTTCATTTCAAAATGAACTGATTTCAGTCAGGCTGTCATATCCATGCACTCAAAATTGTATAGGCTCATATCCAGCATTCGGGTAGAAAGATGTGCATCCAGGTGCATCCCCAGGACTCCCTGAAGTGACCATGTACAAGGTTGAGGGGTGGCTGTGGAGTCCTTATCATAAACATGTACCTTCTTATGTTGACAATCTCCTTGCCGATGTGTTTTGAACTCTTATGGAGATGACAGCAATAAGGATCTTCTGTCTCTTCCATCTGCCCCGCTTTTGCCTGTCTTCAGGATTTACTCACTTCTGTCTTCTTATCTATGTGTCCTGGACTTTAGCCTAGTCTTTATCTCCCACTAGAGTTTGTTTTAGTTTGGGTGTAGGCTTTCCTGGCAAATTATGTTTAGTATTGATAACATATTGATTAATCTAGGCTTATCAATACATGTCATTCTTCTACCCCTTCTGACAGTCATAATAGTGTCCATACCCAGGCATTCCCATTCTCTTGTCATTCACAACAATATTAACATTTCAGTTACAGTTCTCTGTACCACTGGTGCCCATTAGTCTAAATAGTACATTACTGAAACTCCCTTTCTTCATTTAGCTGTTCATTAAAAACCCTCTGCCTTGGGTTCAACTACAAACAGGGACCAACTGCATCATCTAACAACTGGATAGCAATTTAATTTTTGACAAAAGCTTCAGCAACTGATCCATACCCTCTTGGTCTCCTGCCAATAATCCTAGGGGCACTTAAGGCCAGCTAAGGGCGGGGAAGTTGACTAAAGGCAGTAAATGCTAAAGATTTTTTTTTTTTTCTACACTGTTGTATATTTTTGCTACTTTGGACAGACAAAGTTGAGGGAAAAGCTAAATATCTCAAATTCTTTTTGCTTGGACTGGTCCATAAAAATAGTAGGGAAGGTTTTGTAACGTGCACATCAGGTGGTATGCTCAGCTGTGCTGAGGATACCTATTCAGTTAGCAAATGTTACAACAGATGGCAATCATGTTGTTCAGTAGCGGTCTGGTCATGATTCTAGCAAAGCACAGGAAGTAAAAATGCTAAATATCCCTACCCAATCTCCTGCTTTATAATACTTTCAACATAATAATTTGGGAGTTCTAAAACAGTGTGTTTTATTATGTCAGATTATAGATCAGCAGCATATGAGAAGACAGAAGTGATTCCAGAGGGAGAGTAAAGGTTGAAAAGATTTGCAGTAGCCCTTCCCAAGCTGTTGGTGCATACAGATTCATTTGTCCTCAGGGAACCTTTCATTATACCTACATGTTCTGAGCATTTCAGAATGCATAATGGCCTTTCCCTGCAGAAAGATTTTGCTTTGAAACATTCTGTATCTCAGCATCTGAAAGGAAGACTAATACTAATACTAGAAATTTTAACTGTCATCTTCTTATGAGAAAATTAATCATAGCTCATTGCAAAAACATTTTTCATTGGTTTTTTTTTTGTATTTATAATTTTCTTTTCTAATTATATTAACTAGAGACAAAATACAACCATTATGGCATCTCTTCAGTCACACATATCCCAGATATCTTCAGAATATCAAAAAGCAAGCAAACAACAAAACCTGCAAACTCAGTATAGAATTGGACAACACAGTCCTATGATTTTTTCATTAATGATTAATATTAATATCCATTTTCTATTTTAAATATACAAATTTACTGTGGTCTAAATACTGTCTGTGTTGATAAGAAATTTCAATTATACTGCAGATTTGGGCACCTTTAGTAGATCAACTTTGACTCTTCACTATACATAATTCCTGCCATACATAAAATTCCTGCTCTTATCCTGCAGCGAGCTCTTACTATATTACTCCCACTGGTGTATATTTGAGCCAAAAAGAGGAGTGTGTTTTTAATCTCATTCTTTCCTATTTGCATTTGTTTCTTCAAGCTAGGCTTAAGTGAAGAAAATGCATCCTGTCTCCCAAACAGGAGAGCTTATTCAGATTCCTTATTCAGAAACTGAATATCCTCTAAAGAGTCAGTCCCTGGAAATGAGACACTATTAGTATTAGTATTAGTCTTATTTTTGTGAAAACTCCAGCTCTTTGTTCTTTCTTGTTATATTTTAAGCTCTCTTGGGCAATGATTGTTTATTTTGATCTTATTTACTGCATTGAATATGTTCTTGGTACTTAAATAAAAAAAATACGTTCTTCTGATATCTATTGAAACATGAAAGTTGCTAACTAGAAATGCTTATTTTTGCCATCAGCTTATTCTCCGCCAATGGAAAATCATATACTTTCTGGAAACAATGGCACTTTAGAGTACAAGACATCCCTGGCCCCTATTTCTCCAGGAAGATACTCACCCATTCCAAAGCACATGCTTGTGGAGGATGACTACACCAGGTCAGATGCTTCTCCTTATTTTTTACCTTGCAAAGGATATAGGTAAAGCATTCAGTGCATCTCAAATAGAATACAGCATATAGTTCTTTTCACCCATCTTCAAGGGAAGATGAATTGAAACTGTTACAGGTCTGAAAAGCACTAAGAGAAAGATCACAGGGATGGACTCTGACCAGAGGTCTGTGCTGTCTGAGTACAATCCTGCACTAGTTCCTAAACAGCATGGCTGCATAAAAACAGTGCTGGCACTGAGCAAAATATCCTGCTTCTTAACACAACTGGGAGATCTCAGAATCAGTGACTCATCTGGCTCACTGCACTTAGGGGTGGAGGGATGCATGGGCATTTGTACCGTTCTGTGTGATGGTACCCGTCTGTGATAGTACCACTGAAAGGTCCAGATTGTTTATTTTAGTGAAAGGGAGGTTGAAATCTACTGTGTACACACATTGAAAGATTAATGTTATGGAGAGAAAACACTATGGAAATGGAAAAATGTATAAACTTGCTGCAATTAAATATAGGAGGGAAACTGATGAAAGTTTCTGAACCATTAGAAGCCAAAGAGTCTCATCCACTTGTGTATTCGTCAGCTTCATAACTTGCTAATTTGCATTTCATTTTTCTTGTTGCACATGATTACAATCTCAAGCCGCTTAACTTGTTGGATCAGACAGATTCAGGTTAACTAAATCATGATACAGTGTTTAATCAGGACGTAAATGTGTGGAAACCACACCTTGCGTTCCTGTCTTGGCTAAGAGAATTTCTCCTTTGTTTTGATTGAGGATGCAAAGCTGAAATTGTTTTCCGTCAACTTATGAGACATTCAATTAGGATGAATTTTTCCACAGAGTTTCAAGAAGTTACATTTTAATTAATAGTTAAAACATTAATTTCATTAAATTTTCCATCAAGGTTTTATCTGGTCCAATTATAATAACTTCTTAAACCCCCATGTATAGGAAGAATATCAATATTACAGTATCTGGATTACAATGATAAAGGCTTTGTCAATAAACCTGTAGTGCTGAATTGTCGTCTTCTGCAATGACTTTTCAGCACCATTATTACTGAGAAAGAGTTAGCAAAGTTTAAACCCAACAAAAATGCATTCTTACAAGTAAACAATAGCTAAGAAGATCAAGAACTCCGAGAAAGTGAAGGAAGTAATCCTTAAAAAGGGATAGGCTGCCCTGACAATTGAAAGGCCATTTTAACAATTAAAAGGCTTGTATGGTAATGAAGAAGTCCTGTGTTTCTTTATGTTCCATGTAGATGATTTTAACTTTCTAATTACTTCTACCAAAAAAAAAAAAACATATATAGAAGGGAAGGCAGTGACAGTCCTACCCGATTGTTTAGCAGATATCCAGTAGAAAGCCTACTTGCTCAAAGAACCCTGCAGGCTATGTATTGAAATTAGTTAGTATGTCCTTTTGATCTTTTCTTTTAGCATTTCTATCTTGATACTTTTAGTATGAATAGTTTTTAAACCAGTTATTCTGCTGGTTTAGGTCCTGAGAGTATTCTTGACTGAGGTATTCACACCAATGTCCATTTTGTATCATCTGGGGGCAAAAATGAATGCCCAGAGAAGTTGTGTGCGTTCTGTGAAACACTCCTCCCTTATGTTCCTTTTCCTATCTGGATTTCCAAATTAGTGTGTTGTCTAATGAAGGTCTGATATATAAAGTCTTCTTGTGGCATTGGCACTATTGACTGGAGAGACTGACTCCACAAGCACGACCTTCTGTGGCAACTGTGTGGCGCTGGAAGAAATAAGGGTGTCAAGTGATAGGAACAGTCTCTGAATACCACAGAGCAAATCAGATGGAAATCTCATATTTCTGAATAAGTGTTAAATTTGGCCTATTGAAAAGGAGGAGGCTATTATGAACTTCGTTTTATTAGTGATAATAGCCTATATGCTACACTGATATCCAGGAAACAAAAGCACAAAGAGAAATTAATTTAGTCATAAGACAAATGACACTTCTTGCCATTGCATTTCCTTACTGGACATACATCATACAGCACTCTGAAAGACACCCAAACAAGAGCCAGAGACCAGCTTTCTCCTCTGACTACAACAATTAAGGAGCTCTGACCTTCAAAACCAGGTCATTTAACCCTTGAATGCTGCTGAGACTGGTTTTTTTTTAATGTCTGTTTATCGAATTTATTGCCTGTTGATTCAAGTGGAACTGCTGAAAATGCAACAGTTAATCTCACTGTGATTTTCACAGCTATAGACTGAGAGTAGTGAATGTACTCTTTTTGTTCAATGCCATGAGATTTGCTTATGAGTCTGCCATTAAAATAAGAAGATATTTAGAAAGTCTTTGTTGCTGACCAGTTTAGAAAATCTTTTGGTAATTGAATTATCATATTGATAACTTTAGTAAAGCCTATTCATTTTTCTCACATAATGTTTTATAATTAAGATGTTTGCCAGCTACTGCAGTGCTAAAAAATTAAAACTACCTGGTTCTTGCTGTAATAGGTTTACAAGGCTAATTTACATTGTGCTCACATTAGGAAATTTATTACCCATGCAGTCTTGCAACACTTCTGGCAGATTTTCATTTGTGCCGGCTAAAAATATTTGGAACAGTAACTTCTCCACTAAAAAAAGGTTTTTGAAATTCTTTGGACAAGTGTTTTGAATGAGGCTGATGACAAGCTTTCTTTTAACTTACTTGTGATAATGAATTTATGAGTAAAGCTTAAATGGTTGAACATTCAACTCAATTTGCCTGCTTTCTCTTGCTTTTCTTTTTGCTTTGATATTTTTGTTTGTTTGTTCATTTTTTCCAGTTCTAAAGTCTTTTTACCTAAATAATTCTATTTTGCCTAACAAAAATAAGTGTTCCTATTGATAAAAAATTGTATTTCTTGGTCTCATATTGAATTTGTGTCTGAAAAAAATTCAGTAAAAATTTTGCTTGATAAAACTGTAGGGGGAAATGGCCTAGTCTGAGCACAAAGGATTGAAAAGTAACAAATCATCTTCAACCAAAAATTTTAATGAAGCTGGATGTTGTCTTTTAGTTACTGAGCTTTTTGAGGTTTTGTGTATTATTGATCCAAAATACTATCAGTGATGAGCATTATTTATTTCTTGATTTTCTAGATTTATATTAAATTCACTCAGGTTGGAAATTTTGCCTTCCTGTAGTTTTTATAAAAATTTTCACTTTTTCAATTTTAAATAAAATAACACAATTTCAAGTTAGTAGAATGTGGGATCAAAAGCGGATAAATACGATATGTCAAGTAATTCTATCAGTACAATCATCATCATACTGTGAGTAAGACCTTGTTGTTTTAGTTTCTAATGAGATTAAATTGTTGTACAGGCAGTGCAGGGGATTCCTGACCATTTCCTGATGCTGCTGGAGGGGAGAAGCAGAATTAATTCTCTGCTTGACCTGCTGCTTATAAGAAGAAAAGAACTAGTGTCAAAGGTGGTGATAAATAACAGCTGTGATCAGAGTGACCATGAGTTGTTTCAGTTCATGTTCAAAGGAAGTCTGGAAAGATATTCAGCAAGTTCTGATTGTTAAGACTTCAGAAGAGCAGACATCAGCCTTTTTGGAGAGTTGCTTAGCAAAATCTCTTGGGATGCTGCCACAGAAACATAGGATCCATGAAAGATGGATGATTTCTAAATAAAACTTATTGAGAACTCAAGGAACCATCCTGTTGAGCAAAAAGGCCTTCAGCAGAAGGCCTTTTTGGCTGAGCAAAGAGCTTTCTGATGACCTAAAATGAAAGATGTAAGCAAGCATTGCTTGACTGCTTAATGACAAAATGAGAAAGCTGATCTATTTGAGCTAAGACTTAAAAGTATCATAAAGGAAAACATAAAGTGATTCTGCAGGTGTATGCTACTTCCAAAAGTGAAGGTAAAATTTGAGGAAGGAAAAAGGTGTTGAATAGGGGGCAAGATGATGTACTGGCAGATAATATAGAAAAAGCTGAAGCACTCAACTTCATCTTTGCCAGGCACTTAAAGGACCAGAAGGTAATTGGGATAGTCAGCATAGATTTACTAAAAGCAATTCATGTGCTTGTCTATACTCGTTGCCTTTCCCAATAAAATGACTAGCTGCTTAGATGAGGAGAGAGGAGTGGCTGCCCTATACTGAGCAACACCACAGCACAGGTGCTACCCTGAGCAGGAATGTCTCTTTGCTGAGTGAAAACACAGCTGGCTCCAAAGTCATACCTGACCCATGTCATAACTCCCACAAATGTGCATCTGGGATCTGCTGTGGGGCACATGGTGAATCCTCTTCTCCATTGGTTGCCATGGGGAGTGGCTGCAAAATTGTTTGTCACACCTCTTCTGTGGGCAGGAGAAGCTATAACATGGGCAGCACCCTTTAAAACTCTTCTAACAGCCTCTCATCCAAACATAAGGAAGTGTTGGATGAATATGAACAACTAATCATGGCTGGAAAGAAAATTTGATTTGTAATGGTTTGCCTGGATAGCCTTTTGGGTATCTCCTGGATTGTGTGCTGTATTACCTTGCTTGTTAGCCTTCTGCCAGCATGGCTGTGCTAGTTTGCACACAACGATTTTGGTAAGGCTTTTGACACAGTCTCCCACAGCGCTATAAAAACTGGGGAAGAGTGGACTAAAAGATGAGAATGGGTTGGGAACTGACTTAACCAGTAGGCTCAAAGAGTAATGATCATCCCTTGACATCTGTCAGGTGGTCAGTGATGACCAGAGTAGCTCAGGATACCTGGACTATCAGTGAATATCTTCATCAATGACCTAGATCATGACACAGAGTGCACCCTCAGCAAATTTTCAGAGGATGGTAAATTAGGAGGGAGTGGTTAATATGACAAATGCAGAGCTGTATTCTAGAGGGATCTTGATATACTTGAGGACTTGGCCAGAAGAAATCTCATTAAGTTCAGTAAGAATTCTGCATCTCAGGTGGAAGGGCTGCACACACTTGTACAGGCCATGAAACAAAC